CAAAATTACTTTTGACGTGCTATTGAAGGGAATACCAGCGATACAATCAAGACTCAGAAGACTTATGAATGGAGAAACGTGTCGTATCTAGGGAATGTGCGGACAGCGTAAACAACGCAGGTCAGGGGGTACACATGGGCTTAGCCGAGATATTCACCATCTATATCCGAAACAAGATGAAATAACTCAAGTATCAAACTGCTTAGTTGATTGCCTTTATTCGGGCTCAGAGCAAAACTTGAAGGTCAAAACCTCTACACTCATTCCCTTCCATCAAACTAACAAATGAAGAGTTTTTAGAGCACATTTGTATGATCATTTTTCACGATCGGGAGGGAAACGAGATTCTGGAAGATGATTTCGGCTTTTTGTAGGGGTGTGCAAGAAGTATTTCATCTGACTTCTAGTCTAGGACTTGGTCTCTCATCCTCAGCGTATTCATAATCCCCTCCTCTCCTCTCCTTGATTAAAGGGGAGGAAGGATGGTTCCAATCAGGGGAAAAAGGAAATTTCGAAGGAGAGCATAAATTCAAGAAACGTTTAGGAGAAAAGAGCAGGGGAGGGTTGAAATCATTGAAATATTAATATTATGTATGGTACAAAAGATATATTCAAAATTAGCAATTATTTTCAGGATTAGGCAGGTCAGAAGAAATAGACAAATCTCTAGAAGGGTATGAGGATTTTTAGAGTTCGGGAGATGAGTAGGAGGGGGGATTGCATATACTGTCTATGATGTAGTATAGACAACCTGTGGGAATTACCCGCCAACAGGATGGTATGTTTTTGCAAAAATAAGTGAGAGTTCAATCACTGCCATATATGGTCTGTCAATATCCTCCCTCTCCATATCGTATCATTGTCAGGTCTCCTATTGCCATCAAACACAATACCTGGAAGTTAAACTTACCATTCTTATCCCGAAACCGAGAAAAATGCAACCGGAGGAAGATGCTCATATACGCTTACATAGATCGAGGGATTCCAACCTGGTATTCTATAGTCAGAGATTCGCGTTCATGAGATCCTTTCTCAAAAGATAAGTAGGGCTAGGTTAGGGTTGTATTTAAGCGTATCTGCTTGAGAAGGCAGGGCATCTTGAGAGGAATGCCATTGATAACCTCACACAATCTCCTTGGGGCAATTTTCATTCTAGTATTATACCGTCCCAGAGGAGATTGACAAGCATCTAAATTGAATCTGCTAGACTAACTGTGTTTCATTCCATAATCTAATTCAATTGACGAACCTCAGAGAGATCGTTCTACGAGGTATTTAGAGGGTGATTGATTTTCATAATGCTGTGCATACAGTAGTGAAGAAAATCAAGAACTGTCGAATTGCGGTACATTGAACCTTTTTAATGCAAGCGCAGTATGAATGAAGCTCTCGACATCATTCATGTGTAATCCCAAGAATCAAGGAAACCGAAGACTTCTCGAGAATATTGCTTGATTCATCAGGTCTCATTCGATACATGGGTGCTGCATCGTGCTTGAGGTTGCTTAGGAACTCTTTTGTATTTTTAGTGGTTCTACTACTTCAAGACCTACAAATATATGCATCTACTCTAGCTTCAACGTCTCGAATTGTTTGATTGTCTCCTCGACGTCACGCTGTTCAGTCGTAAGATCCCCTAGCTTCTTTCTTTCTACCTCCTGCAGTTCTTGGCTGACTTTTTCTGTGTATGCTGGGTCATCAAGGATCTTTCTTTGTCTCTCAATACTTGCGCGAGTTTTCTCTAGCTTCTTTGCGGCTTTTTGGATCTCTCCATCGATATCTACACGACCCTTGACATGCAAGAAGACGGCAGCAGCGGAGGATACGGAAAATACTACACATCCAGCTGGGCGAGCATCGGTTGAGGAGAGTATTTCCAAGGAAGAAACACCTTTACCGGATAATGACTTGATAGATTGAGTTTGGGATGTAACGGTGGAGTGGGAGGTAGCATCGTAGGCTTGGACGAAGACTAGAACTAGTTAGTAATGGATCTTTGTGTTCAAAATATATGATTCCTTACCCTTTCCTTCATCTTTAAGCGAGTATTCAGCCATCAAGGATCGAATACCCTTGGATACTCCCAATAAAAGTTCGTAAGCTGCCTCGGATGCAGGATCGTCCAACTCTGCCTCATAGACTGGGTATTTGGCAAGAACGATAGATGGGGTCTTATCCTCTGGACGTCGAGGAAGACGTTGCCAGAGCTCCTCAGTCAAGAAAGGCATGTAAGGGTGAATCATGGTCAGGGCACCTTCGAGAGCAGTATATAGAGTGTTAGTAGCAGATATCTTATCCTCTTCGGTGCCGTCTTGAAGGATTGCTTTCGAGTTCTCAATGTACACATCGCACAGTTGATTATACCAATACTGGTAAATGGCAGTCGTTGAACGCATGAATTCACGATCTTCGAGGTTTTGATTGATTTCTTTCGCAGCCGTCGTCATCTTATGCAAGATCCAGCGCTCAGGCAAGGACTCCTTGCCAGTGAGTTTGGCAGTCTTTTGTGGAACAAAATCCGCTGGCAATTTACCAACCACGTATTTTGTGGCTTGATAGATTTTGTTGCAGAACTTTCGGTATCCATGAATGACCTTGATATCGAATGCAATATCTCCACCACCAGTAGTGTAAGATACCAACGCAAATCGCAAAGCATCAGTACCGCATTCTGGAATGCCATCAGGGTAAGCAGTCTTTTGATACTTCTTTGCCCTCTCAACCTCGGCTGGGACAAGATTACCGACTAAAAGCTTGGCATGTAAATCGTCAAGGGCGATACCTTGAATCACATCTTGAGGATCAATGACATTACCCAAGGATTTCGACATCTTCCTACCATCAGAGTCACGAACCAGAGAATGACAGTATACTTCAGTAAAAGGGACTTTGCCAGTCATTTTGATGCCAAGCATGATCATGCGTGCAACCCAGAAGAACAAAATATCCCAGCCAGTCTCAAGTACTGATGTTGGGTATAGTTTTTCGAAATCACTTGTTTTCTTTGGCCAGCCCATGGTAGCAAAAGGCCAAAGACCAGATGAGAACCAGGTATCCAAGACATCCTCGTCTCTCTTGAGCGTGAAAGTCTTACCCGGAAGAGACTTCTGAGCTTTGATTTCTGCCTCCTCTTGTGTTCTACCGGCGAACCACCGATCACCATTGCTCTCATCATTCGCATCGCCTTCGATTTGGGCAAAGTACATAGGTGCTTGATGACCCCACCACAGCTGTCTCGATAAGCACCAATCATTGATATTCTCCATCCATCGAAGATAACTCTTCTCGGCTGATTCAGGCTTGATCTTAACCTCGCCAGACTTCACAACCCTAATAGCTTCATCCGCCATTTCTCTCATCTTCATCCACCACTGCGGCTTCAACATTGGCTCAATTATATCCTTTGATTTTTCACAGAGTGGGACAGTCATGGGATTATCTTTCTTGTCAACATATAAACCAGCCTTCTTAAGGTCCTCCTGGATAGTGTAACGCGCATCGAAACGTTTTTGTCCGGCGTAAGAGCCAGCATTGTCGTTCATCTTACCATCATCGGTCAAGATATTAATGAACTCAAGATTGTGTCGCTGACCAAGAGCAAAATCATTAGGGTCGTGAGCTGGGGTGATCTTTACAGCACCAGTACCAAAGTCCTTTTCAACATATGTATCAGCAACAATTGGCATCAGTCGCCCTTCGATGAAGGGGTGAATGGCGTTCTTTCCAACAAGATGTGTGTAACGACTGTCATCAGGGTGGACTGCAATACCAGTATCGCCTAACATGGTTTCAATACGAGTTGTAGCAACCTCGATCTTTTCCTCGCTTCCTTCAATTTGGTACTGGAAATGAACGATGACACCAAATTCCACTTTCTTATCGTATCCTGGTACATCAAGAAGTGTGCGTCCCGTAAGTTCTTTGTTGGTAACCTCGAGATTCGATAGGGAAGTATTGAGTTTTGTGCACCAGTTCACGAGTCTGTTGGCTCTGTAAATGATACCTTCCTCGTGCAGTGTTACAAATGTTTCTGTAACGGCGGCTGAGAAATTCTCGTTCATCGTGAAAGCTTCACGAGTCCAGTCGAAGGATCCACCCATTCTGCGAAGAACAGCATTGATTTTCTTGTGATATTCGTCCTTCCAATCCCAGACAGTCTCAACGAACTTGGGTCTTCCAAGATCATGACGAGTCTTTTGCTCGCGGCGCCACAGCATATTTTCAACGACGCTCTGAGTCGAGATACCAGCGTGATCACATCCCGGGAGCCAGAGTGTTGTCTTACCATGCATACGGTTCCAACGAATGAGCAAATCTTGCAAAGCATTAGGAAGAGCATGGCCCATATGTAGGTTTCCGGTGACATTCGGTGGTGGTTCGACAATTACGAACGACCCCTCGGGTTTAACTTCTCCTTCTGCTGTAAATTCTGGCTTGAAGAAGCCCTCCTTCTCCCACCACGAATACCAAGCTGATTCGACGGCGATCGGATTGTATGCCTTGTATTGGGGGTCATCGAAAGATTTTATTACTATGCATATCATCAGAACGTAATCGAACACGAGCTGATAATTTGATTGACATACACTTTTTTTCTCCGACTGGGGTATCCTCAACATATGTTGGCAAGACTTCTTCGGCAGCCTTCTTCTCGGCTTTGACTTTCTTCTCCTTGTTCTTGCTCGGTGCAGCCGAAGCAACACTTGCCTGTTGAGCTTGCTTTTTTTGGTCAAACTTGGCTTGCTTCTCCGCCTTCTTGCGTTCTCTCTCAACTGCGGCGCAAAGAATCAGCTCATAAAACTTTTTGCTTTCGGGTGGAGTTCATACGCTCTTTCTCGCTCTTCACTTTCTTTTCTCCCTCCCCAGCTACGGGGGCTGTGTTCTTTCCTGTCACATGCGAGCCAGTTATGCTGGATTCTGCAGCGTCTGTAAGCGCAGCTTTTGTTTCATTCGAGACTGCCGGTGGCTGCCCTGTCGCTGGACCAGTCTTTTCTCCAACTGTCAATCGGGTTTAGTCAGCTGTAAACTTTGGTATATCTACAACACTGAAGTCCTTACTTGGATTATACGAAGCAGCGTTGGTAGCCATTCTGACGGGTGGAAGATTTAAAATACTTCTGTAAGGCGACCCGCGCACACAGAGCGCCCTTAACAAAGGTCGAGACGTCTTGAAAGCGTCTTCTGTGTAGAAATGAGAAGAATCGAACAAAGTTGTAGATACTTCGGGAACTATTTTGATTCTTGCAACCTCCAAATAAAACGCGATAAGTGTGACTCGAATTTGGGCAAGTCACCCCTCATGTGGCTTTTATCTGCACCACTACACTAGCCACACAAGGCTGATAATAGTTACCGGTATATCATTCGTTGATTTAGATGACTAATCTTCGAGAAATGGCAGACTCCTCCCCGCCACCCACTCGCCACGGATCACCGCCATTCATCCCCTATGACAAAATCCTCTCTCTAACGTCGAGAAGAGGCACTTTTGGCATTCTCGTATTCTGTTCGTGAAAAAACTGATCATCTTCACTCACGAATTCACTCATCATCAGTTTATTCTCTTGAGCTACTCAATATCTCTTATAATTATATCTTTCATTCATCATAATCCTTCGATGATATTGTTAATCTCGACATGAGACAGTCATACCTTTTCCTGTGAAGATATACATGTTCTTTTTTATTAGGTAGTACTTGACCAGATCAAATATCATTCATTCAATCATCAATCCTAGACTTAGACTGTTTTCGGTTTAGAAATTTCACACCGGTATATTTGTGTAGTCGGCGGGGAGGATACAAATGAAAGATGGCAATCAAGGCGTTGTCAGAATCAACAATTCATCTCTTAGGTTCTTCTCAAGTTCTTACCACACCTACGTCTCTCATCAAGGAGCTCATTGACAATGCCCTTGATGCCAAAGCTACAAGTATTGATATTCTTATTTCTCAAAATACCATCGATAAGATAGAAGTTCGCGATAATGGACATGGTATTCAATCCGACGATCTTGATGCGTTGGGGAGACGCGGCCACACTTCCAAATTGACCACATTTACGGAGCTCAGGAATGTAGGTGGCAGAAGTCTGGGGTTTCGGGGAGAGGCGTTGGCATCTGCTTGTCAACTTGGTGATGTCTCGGTCACCACAAAGATGGATGGCGAACCGGTTGCAATGTGTGTGGCTTTAAAGGCACTAGGTGGTATCCAATCACAATCTCGAATTTCTCATCCGGTTGGAACAACAGTCTGTGTGATGAACTTCATGTCGAAGTTACCTGTTAGGAAGCAAACAGCCCTGAAAGAAGCACCAAAAACGATTAGCAAAATCCAAGAGCTGGTACAGAGGTATGCTCTAGCACGACTTTCCATTAAGCTTACCCTGAAGATTATAAAGGGCACTAAGGGTGCATGGTCGTATACACCTCGTCCACATGGCTGCATCAAAAATTCAGTGTTTCTTGTTGTTGGTCGAGACGCTGCTCTACAATGTTCTGAAGCATCAATAGTATTTCCCGAATTACCTGGTCATGACTTTGGTGCACGCGAGGGCGCGGTTGTCCCAGCTGATCTCAACAATCTTGCAAATGGGCTGGTGACTTCTCACTTTCGCCTTGAAGCCTTTCTCCCCCGACCTGATGCAGATCAAGGTAAAGTAGGAAGCGGACAATATTTATCCGTTGATTCCAGACCAGTAGCGTCCGAAAAGGGGACCATGAAGAAGATTGTGACCATTTTCAAGAAATATCTTCGAAGCGGGTTGGCAGAGCCTTCTTCAGAGAAGATCAAGAACCCCTTCATGCGTCTCAACATTGTTTGTCCTGAAGCAAGTTACGACCCAAATGTTGAACCCGCTAAGGATGATATTCTTTTCGAGAATGAGACGCTCGTGCTGGAAGTGGCGGAGAAATTGTTCAAGAATTTCTATGGAGAGTGCGGTGCGGTGATGTCAAGACTAGAAAAGAACAACATCGAGAGTAACCCCAATGGGTTCGATGTCCTTCTTGCCCGAAAGCCTCAGCAGAATTCTTCAACGCCTTCGTCTATTTTCGACGCGCCCGAAGACACTCCTTTAACCGCTACCTCTAAGCCAAATATCGTGTTCAATGCTTGTCCCGTGACTACTACCGTTGCCTTAAAGTTGGCAGAGTCCGAAGACTATGAAATTCCCGAGGAATCAAGTGCCCCTGGGAAGCGCAGATGGGGAAGTGATATGTCTCACGACTACACAGAATATACAGATGATTTCCGTTCTCCATTCTCTGTTGATAAAACGCCGAAGCAACCTGGCTTGAATAGCAATTGGCGATCTGGTTCAACGAATTTGAATCCTTGGGTCATTGCCAAAATGACTGCTCCAATTCAGAATGGAACTGCCACAAGTTCTAGCAACATTAACACAAACTCAAGCTCAGCAATATTACTCAACTCAGTTGAAAACAGCCCTTTCCAAGATGAGTCCCCCCGGCCGGCTACTACTGCTCTCACACCTTTGCAAAACCGCCACGGCGACAATATCAATGCTAGCATGGCAGAGATCCTACAGTCGCACTCAGACTTTAGGAGACACATTCACGGTGATTCGATGCAGCCGGGTAAGTTCTCTAATCCAATCACTGAGCATGATCTTCCCGAAATTCACCACCGGCATAATCACCTGAACAATAATGGATTCACCACGGCCACGAATTTTGTTGAAAACTCTTTAATGTCACCTCCCAACACATCTCCAAATATGCAACGGCAAAAACAAACGAGAGCTCGAGGATCAAATCTGCCATTCGTACCTCCTTTCCGAACACCAAACTGTAGCGGTGTATCGGTTGGTCGTGCTCAAACACAGCTAGCGCTTTCTTACCAGCCCTTTCAAGTACAAAGAGAGGCACGTCATCCACCTGCTGCGGCTACAAATCCAGCCCCGGAAGCACAACAGCTGAATCCTGAGCTAGAGTGGGCTATGGACTTTGAACATAGAAAAGAGAGCGCAACTCAACGTCGCAGAGATGAGCTTCAAGCTATGCGAGAGGCATTTCAACAGCCACCCGCTACAAGTCAAGCTTCTTCACGGCCATCTCCTCACAAGAATCGTTACAATGCTGCTTTAACCAGTCTTGAAACATCCCAAGAGAATACGAGGATTTCTTCAGAGTCAAACAACGAAAGTGTCAACACCTCTCTTCCAGGTAGTGATCCACGAGGTTACTTGATCAAGCGACAGAAATCGTTTTCTGTTTTGTCTAGCATCACGGGAGGCCCCCGAAAGTTGAAGCGGGCCCAGACATTACGCCTTCCCTTGGAATCGATACCCGGAGACTTACAAACTCATCGACTTGTCCAAACGGTGCAGAGTGACCTTGATGCAATCTCAAAGCTTGCCATGGAGACATCGAAGGAGGATACGTATGTTCGTCGTGGAACGCAAGCATCTGGCCTTGAAATGACTGCTACAGAGAAAGAGGCTACGGGAAAGAAACTGTATCTTGTTTCCCAGGTATGGATGAACTCTGATAGAGGAGAGAAGTGTGATATTGAATTTGTATTTGGTGGACCGAGTTCGCTTAGCGGTGCTTAACTTAGGTTGTATTTATGGGTAAGCAGTGAACAGGGCAGGTGTATATGGCTTACATATGGCGTTTTGCTGGATTTGAGATACCCATTTACTTTCTTGGCGGTTGCGCTTTATTATAGATTATTCACAGCCTTTTGTCGCTATCTCTTTAGTAAGACATTTTACTGTGTTTTATAGAATGCGGCCATTACTATTACTGCTTCATTGCAATAAACGATTCCAATACCTACATCGACTTCTCCATGGAAAAGCGAAATGGTCTATTCGAGTAATTTGTATACAATCCTCTAATAATCTAATTACCAACCACCAATGCCTTGAAAGCTTGCAATAAATCATCTCTCAAATCCTCCCATCCCTCAATCCCCACACTGACCCGCAACAATTTCCGATCAATAGTCGCATCCGACATTGCTCTCCACTCGATCAAGCTCTCCACACCCCCCAAACTTGTTGCATGATGGAACAACTCCAGCTGACTTGGTAGCTTCTTCGCAAACCCAACTTCCTTTAGAATAATAGAAAACACAGGCCCAAATCCATTTGGCATTTGCTTCAACAACCACCCATCCTTGATATCCTCCGTCTGCAAACTTGCATGCTCAATCTTCAGCACAGCTTTTCTCACAACCTCCGTCTCCGCATCGTCCGATTTCAGCGCGTTATCCAACCACGAAACCAGTTTCTGCGCCGAAGCAGATTGTTGCTTGACGCGAAGTTCCAAAGTCCGCACACTGCGGATGCCGAGCCATCCTTCCAGTGATCCCATGACATTCCCGAGAACTAATCTCTCTTCTTGTAATCCTTTAAACCATCCATTCTCAACATGTTTGGGGTTCACGGTCAGAATTCCACATAACATGTCGGAGTGTCCGCCTACGTATTTGGTTCCGCTGTGCATGACGATATCCGCGCCCCAGAGAAAGGGGTCTTGGAGTGGTGGAGGCCCAAATGTAGCATCGACGGATAGATAAGCACCGCGCGAATGAGCTTTTGCGGCAAAAGCAGCGAGGTTGTAGGCGGTTCCTTGGGGGTTGAGTGGTGTTTCCACGTGGATGATATCGCCGGGTTGAAGATCTTCGGCAAGACAGTCAAGAGGGATTTTCTTCAGACCGGTGAGTTTGGTGTGGACATCAATCACGCCATGACAGCCATGGTAGCCTTCGCCAATCGAAATGCGCTTTGGGTTTAGGTATACCAAAAGGGCATGGAAGGCAGAGAGGCCAGATGCATAGGTTAGGGTGGGGCCGTTGAGGATGTTGCTCAGGATTGCTTCGAAGCGTGTGGTGTTTGGTGCTGTATGGCGGGAATATATATGGCCTTCGTGAGGTGCATGTGGCTGTAAAGTGGAATCAGCATCAGAATATAAAAAAGAAAGAAATACAAAATAGAGAACTGTGAGTCATGTGATTGGATTGGATTGGATTGGACTGAGTGCGGGGAAAGTACTCACATCTACATCACTCAATGCAACGAGATCGTCTGGGTTGTTACTGTAGCGGAAAGTGGTGGAGACGTGGAGAGGTGGCGCGACATCTTGACTTTCATTGAGGAAATCGTCTGCGTGGATGGTTTTGGAAGAAAGTGATAACGAGGAGAGTGCGGGATCGGAGGTGTGATCTTTGATATCTTGTTGACCATTTAGGCCAGGCTGAGAAGTTGCCATTTTTGCTAGATGACTTTAAGATCTTTAGTGTATTTGAGGAGTATGATTCAAGCTCGAGATAGTTGACGACTATTTGTAGTACAGCAAGTGAGTGAATAATAATTCGTTATCGGATCTGAGTGTTAATCGATGGAATAAAAAAACTGGATCTTTTTCGAATGGAATTAAATCACTTCGGATTGTGATATTTTCGTCAAACTAATTGTCAAAGTCATCGAGTATTCCAGCCGATATTCACGGATTAACAAACATATAAAGTAGATATATATATATATGTTTGTGAGTCAGTTCAAGCATTAAGTCATAATGGCGCAATACAAATAAGCAATACGTATATACGCCCTTCAAGCAAGCTATGTAACGCCCTTCGCGGAGACAATTAGTCTCCACATCTAAATTCTCCATGTTTGTCAACAACGATTCGATCCTGACCACCGAGTTTTTATTTAGTTAGGTAGTTAGTACCTTCATTGGCTTCATATCTTCCAATTCCAGTGCCAATACAACAGTGTGTCAACAACAGGGCGTCAAGTTGATACAAATAGGTATTCGCCTGGCCACAAAGTTGGTAATGTTTGGAAACCCACAACCTTATGATTGCACACAATCGAGGCCCTTTTTTTTATTCTGTTGGACCTTCCTTTTCTGGAGCGCTAGGAACCCGAAAATGGAAAACCTCATGTATAACATAATCCTCCGAAAAATGTACTAGAGAACATCTAATCGAATGTTGGAGATAGCGCTGGGCCGGTCCGCTAGTCCCCGAACAGATTCGTAAGCGAGACAAACAACTAATAAGAACTCCAATGCCAAAAACCAACACTGTATCTCACATACTCAAGCAACACCCATCTATAAACCTCAATATCATGAAAAATCAAATCATGAGACCAGTAGAAAGAAACATCCTTTGCGGTATGGGTTCTGTTTCATGATGAAGTCATGACTTGTCATGTTGGTTTTGTTCTATTTCTGTACAACTACCTCGCCACTTCACATCGGTTGTTGACCTCCGACCGACCACAAGGCCATGGTCAATGAGGACAACAACTATCCACAAGGCTGTATTATACCTTACTCGCGCGGTTGTTTCTATCCGCTCAAGGAACTACACACAATATCTCCACGATAACGTAGGCAGATGGCTTGAAGAAGAGTTAACAAACTCAACGAGGCCGTGTCCATATATTATAGAGAACTCCATCTGGCTTTACTTTAGGTCTATTTGATTATTCAGCGTGTGTCTTATCGGCTTATTCAAACTTCAAAGACCAACATGGTCCCTGGATGGTCTTTGATAACTACTATACCACCCATAGTTGGGTCAACAGATGGAAGGAAGGGCCATAATTATGCCTCTCCACAATGTGTTTTTGTGGCCCGATTTCTTCCTCTTCAGATCCATGCTCGATGCTGTAGTGATTTAAATGTGCCATGATACAAAGCTGTACATTAGGTAGCTCTTTCTCGGATCGATATTGACCTCAAGCCCTAGCTATTCTATATAGTTCAAGTCATTATCGCAGCTTCGATTTTCGATTTTTTCGTTTTAGTCAAGAATCATCTATTTATCTTCAATTTTCGTGTGAAATACTCCAAAATGTCTTCTAAAGATGTAACGCCTAAATCACCAAGACTTCACCACATAGATACATCATCTAATGGTGGTGTTTCTGGTCCCTTCTGGGACGCATCCGATCGTTGCTTCTGGTTGATGAACAATCGACAAATTTACACTCACTCTGAAGGTTACAGCGGAAGTTCCGCCTGCGCAACTATTGCGTCCGCAAACCCCAATTCTGCTTACCCAGCCGGCTGGTCCAAAGGTCAGCGCACAAGATCTCTGTCGGGTTCCGATGCTTCGCCAAATTCAGCATCACACGAATCCAAACGCATCCGTCTAGAGTCCTTTGCAGGTGTACCTCTACAAAACACGGTATCTAAACAGCCTTCGCGACAGGGCACCCCAGAACAGCAGCGCAAATTTCCACAATACGACTTATCTAATCTTCCACCACCACCTCCCTTCCCACGTCAACGATCTCAATCAGTTCGCTTCTCCCCGAACATATCTTATTCGGACGATCCTTTGAAGAAACACAATCCAGGACCATCTCAACCCAGCTTCCTTCAACGCTCTCAATCCGTCCGTCTCGAAACCGAGCACGACCCAGGCTTCGTCCGCTCCAGCAATCCATCTCCCTCTACGCCCCCCTCTTCATCTTCTCATTCCCATCACACCTCCCTCCCTACCCGCACCCTGTCAACCTCAACCTCAGCATCAGCATCAGCATCAGCATCAGCATCAGCATCAGCATCAGCATCAGCATCCACATCAACATCAAAATCCACCTCAACATCCACCTCAACCTACAGCACCCTCCCCCCTAGCACCCGCTACACCCCTTCCAACTACCATCACAACCACGACCCCGAACACGAAGACGAAGATTTATCCTCCCCCTCCTCAGCCTATTCCTACACCCAATCCCCCTCTTCCTCTTCCACCCACCGCTCCCCCTCATCCCGCGGTCGTCACGAATCACACCATCAACGCACGCACCACCGACGCATCGAATACGACTACGACACCGACAGTGAAATCTCGACTCGGAAAGAAAAGAAACTAATCAAACAGAAACGCACTCGTGAACGTACTCCTGATGAACAGAAGAAACACGAGAAAACCTTGAAGGGTATTGGGGAGACGGGGCGGGGAGATATGGGACGAGCAGCGTTCTTGGGCGTCTTGCCTATTGTGTGTCTTTTGGTTCAACTTGCGGCTTGATTTTGTTCTCAGTTGCTTACAATCTTTCTTTCACATGTTTTGTTTGGTCTTTTCGATTTTGTTCTAGGAGGATAAGATATTTGGGAATTAGTTTATGCAAGAATGCTCGTTATTTTGGGGTTTTACGAATAATGCGTGGACTGGCTAGGGGTTGGAGTTAAGGATATGTTTATATAGCTGCGGTGTGGTCACCATTCGTTCAGCTAGTCATAAATGTAAGGAATGAAAGTAGATAGATATATTAGAAATTTGAAATATGTTGAATGAAACCCTTTTGTCTCATTTTGATGCCATCCCAGCTGTGCTTCATCTTCGCTGCTCATCGAAATCTATCCCATGAACGTGAAATTGACGAAGAAACGAATTAAAAAAAAACTTAGTGATCATCCAGAATCATAATGTCATCATGCTTTTATGCATATCTTCCATCCCATAAACATCACCGTATTTTATGTTCAAAGCCCATTGTAAGCATTCCCAAACCTCCCATCATCTCCTGATAAATTCATCCTACATCTCACATTACCGTACATTTTGCAGCATGCTTTTTCTGCTGCGGCTGCACCTCCGTGTCATATGCCACTGTCGCTGGTGAAGTAACAGGTCTCGAATCCCATGTCACGTCAGTCCAACCTGCACTACTTGCCGCATCACGTTTATGCTTACTTTTCTTCGCCATCATACTCTTCCTCCAACCGTTTCGTTTTGCAATTTTTACGTTTCGCGCCGCACTGCGCTCTGCTCTGCTCGGTTGTCTGATGATAGGTATTGGTACATTGTAAGGTGAGGTACCAGTGCCACTCGCCGAAGTTGTGCTGTGAATTGTCTCGAGACGTTGTATTGGTGGACGTAAGTTATCCGGTGATGCAGGGTATCTTTGTGAACCGAGGCTAATTCGTCGAGAAGGAGGACCGTGGCCGGTAGGAGGACGAAGGGTCGTATTCGAGCGCGAAGAACTTGAGCCATAAGCGCCAGCACCAGCGGCTGCACGAGGTGGAGCAGAACCGTGATTTAATTGCTCGGGAACAGCACGAGGAGGTTGTTGGGACTGGCTGCTAGAATCTTGAAGTGGTACAGAATCTCGAGGATTAGAGCCAGAGCGACGTCGTGATGGATCTCTCAGACTAGCTGGACGTCCACTGCGACTGTTGAAACGTGCTAAAAGATCGGCGCTGGGGAGCACTAAGCTAGAGGATACTGTTGTAGCATCATCTGTAGGGGTCTCTGGTATTACTGGTGCGGAATTGACTCTTCCCCAAACGGAAATAGATGTTTCAGTGGACTCCGGGAAAGCGAGGGGAATGGACGAATTATCCTCCAACTGTGGGTATGAGCTTTGCTGGACAGGCATTAAACCATGGGATTCCTGTACCGGCACTGGTGGTTCTGTCACTGTAGAATTCAGCTTTAGAGTGGAGTCGTCTCTCTGTTCTCCATTTACCGCGGTTGTAGGTCTACTGTTTTGCATAAGAGACACTTGATCATCAACGGTTGCACTTTCCCAGTCTAACAACCGCCTATCAAGAGTTGCATTCATAGGTTGAGGAATGGGAGAGACAGGTGATTGTAACGTAGCTCTCATAACAAAGTTAGGGGCCAAATCGGTCGTGTTATTGTCGTCATCGTTGAGCCCTACAGGTAGTCTAGGTATTCGATGGGGCGAGGGCCTTGCAAGGCTTGGCTGTGGAGTGCCAATCGGGGAAACATCATAAAGGCTATTGAAATCTGGGGTCGTAGGACGCTCATCAAAGGTTGCACTTGAGGGACTTGTCGTTGGTCGAACAACTGGATCATCTATAGGACTAGTTGCGAAAGGTACAGTTGTTGTATCACTGAGCGATCGTTGAGAGTGATAGCTCTGCTCACGTAGAGCTTCGGGAAGAGGTCGCTGAAGAACCGGGGCATCTAGTCCTGGAAAGTCAAGCACCGTGGCACGTTGAGTATTTGATCTTTGCAGTGATTTTGCATGATCTGCAAGTATAGATCTCTGTATGTGTTCAGGAAGTGGAGGGACCGATTCTTTTTGATAAGGAGGGGGTGGTGGCTCCCAATTATCTGCATCGCTTTCATGCGGATGCTCTTCACGACCATCAGCGCGGCGATACTCGATATGTTCTTGTATCGTTGAGCGAGGATGTAATCTTCTGTTAACTGCAGCAGCCGTGGCAGCGCGGCGTAGGGTCGTGCCCGAGCGTGGTGCCGTATTTGCATAAGGATCGTCGAAAGCTTCTTGCTCGTCATCAATGGAGGCCGTCTCTGCTCGATCAGACGTAGTTTCTAGGTGACTCGTTTGTGTAGGTAAAGGAGGAAGGGGGATGTTAGATAAAGCACCCAAGTTATGTAGTGCTGGGATTGGCGGTGGCTCCGGGCGCGTCATTGTAGTAACCGATCGAGCAAGACTGGCACGATAACTTCTTCGCTGCGCTACTGTTCTTCTTCTGACAATAGCTACCTCAGTGTCCAGGTCTCTGTGTTCTTCCTCGAGAATTTCCGGATCATCTCGTTGGCCTACCTCTATAGTCCTTGTGGTTTTCCTGCCATTGTTTGTGGCACAGGCGAAATCCAGTATACAGATACGGCCACCATCCACCGGACTCATGCTATCATCCTCGTCTATGATGCATTGGCGTCTTACTCCCGGTGCAACAGCTATAAGTCTTTCACCTCGTAGTTGTTTTGTTTCTTCTTGGACCCAGCTCAAGGCACTCACTCCATCTAAGGAAGTTATGTGACAACCTTCAACGAATGTATTGCGGGATTTATCGCAGAGGAGTTGCCATTGTGGAATACGAGTACTGCTGTGGTCCAGCGATCGATTTACAGAGCGTAGCGATGGCGCGCTGTTTCGACGGCCAATTTGACTCAAAGGTGTCCCTGGTGCGGTTTCTGCATTACTATTCGAGCTCACATTGGCAGGCGTAGGATCCAAATTTTCCGGAATTCCCCAAAGCCAAACGGTACCTCGACTATAACCTACTGCAGCTAGATCTCCAGACTTGTTGGCTGCCGCTTTTGATGCGGGCGGTTCCCCGTTGGGACCCACAAAATGAACTTTACCGTTACGTAGATCATCCATCCTAACAGCTCGAAATGTTTCAAAAATTCGATCATATGTGAAAGTCCAAGTTGCTTCGTCGTCATGAGGACTTGGAAGTAGGACTGCATGACTGCAGTCTCGGCTACCGTTGGGAAATAGAATTGAAGTTGTCCAAAGAGCACCGATGCTATCTTCAGGAGAAACGCTCCCCGGGTCATGATATGGCGCAGTTAATACGACGGTACTAGAGTTCCTGGATTGTAGTGTGGTGCCAAGTAGCAGATCTGAATCATGAGAAAATGTCAAGGAGTCAACGCCATAGGCCTTTACAGCGCGACTTGTACCAAACTCACGCAGAGAGGTCAATTCTACCCCAGAGCTAACGATAGCGTGGTTAGCAGCACTTCAACGAGTAAGAAGTAATATATATTTAAAAAGGCTTCTAAGAACTTTCTGATAAGTTTAGACTGAAGACAGTGACAGCAAGGATAGTAAAAGGATCGATGTAGAAAAGCTCCAGACGAAATGTACTCACTCGTAAGCTGCGGCGAGAACTTGTCCAGTCGGGGAGAGGGCGATGGTTCTTGGTGTATGGTCTAGTGGTACAGACCGAGTATGCTTTGGTGGGCGCACAGTCAAGTCATAAAGATTGACCTGAAGATCATTCGACAGTACCGCCAACATAGACCCGTCATCTGTGATTGTCGTCGCAGCTGGTCGTCGCAAGATCTTAAGTTCTCGTATGATATGAACCTCCGGAGCCGTGACATCTATGATGTGAATTCGAGATGAGTTGTAGGCGAGGACCAAAACTCCGCGAGGAGAGATAGAAAAATGACAGGCTTCTCCCCCAGGCGCACTGGACGAACTTATGGAGGTCGAGACTAAGTTTATGACCGTTTCTTGAGGCCGTAAATATACTTCGAACAAATTGCGTTTGACCTCTCGCGCAAACAGGCCCCGAAGACGTGGAAGGCTATTCTCATCTAAAGCCGGAATTGTATTGTGCGCGGCCGAGTAGGAAGGGCATTGAGCGAGATGATGCGAATAAAGGTAGGCTTGCTGCGAGATATCCCTCCATCTTGAATTCAGTAAGACGAGAGAAGCAAAGGTGTTGGCATTGGTAAGGAGTAGAATCCTAGAGACTATGATTAGAAGTTTTACATAATGATCTTATTTGTTGCGCTCACTGTAGAATAATATCTTCGGGTAGCCTTTCAAATGCGCTTTTCTCCATCCTGGATGTCTCTGCCTAGCTCCCCAGATCCCATAGAAGAGATTGAGCTTATGAAGGCGCTTCTGGTAGAAGTTTGGATAGCGAAGTCTATTGCCGCTGGTTCATTTGTGCTGGATCAAAATTCGAGTAAAGAAGAGGTATAGAAAGATGAGCGCAAATTCGCAGACGCGATTTCCAAGAGATGGCGGCAATTGAGCTTAATGTAAGATTAATGGGATGAAGAAAGACGCCTGGAGCATGGTGCTGCTCAGCCTCCAAGGCTAGCACCTCGTTCTGAGTGAATTCAAATACACGCGCCTTCACGACTGATTGAAGGTGTGATAGAAGTTGTAGGAAACAAATTGTAGACGAAGGTTATCTGGGGATTCCCGATGATCGACATCAAAATAGAGGGGGGTCCAGGTTCCAATAACTACATAGATAGCATGAGGGGGGCGAGAAAGTTTATATCTATGCGTTTTGAAGGTATAGGTATTTCGACTGAAATTCTCATTGATTCATAAGTGCATTATACTATTTATTCTATGTTTGCTGTAACCCTTTAAACTTGTCTAGCATCTATAAACATCAAAGGATTAATTATTAGTGGTTACTGTTACTGTATATGGTATATGAATGGAGTATGATAAGATACCGGTAGCTAACAGTTGGTTAGGGTTCAACATATCAATCAGTAATTCTCATCCAATGATCAAGAAGTATTATGCGCCATGCCCTGATAACCTGTCTCTTGTTCCGAACTCTTATTTATCCTCACACCACTTCGCTGGAATTCTTTTCCGAGAGATCATTCACTGGGCTTATATCTATAGCAGATTACACACAGAAGCAACTAAGCTACTCGTCGTGCTCACTAAGTATGAAATGTCTAATTTGTTCTCTGGAATGTGAGTTCTATTCTCTCTGTAGCGCAAAGCAAAGCAACCCCCGAATATCTCGACATATTAGTAACGATAACTTTTGTTTACAGCAGTGAACGCCTCCGAGCTGGTAGGAACAACCGTGGTAAAATTCCGGAGCTACTGAATGAAACGCAACCCATATTCCCCAAAAACTCAAACTCACCGCCGCCGATGGAAGATAGTAGTGATAATACCCTCTCAGTCTATCCAGGACCAGGTCTACCTCCGCTAAAGCCTCTATGGCTTAATAAGGCCTATGTCAAGCATATTGTCAAGGGAAACTTTATGACGCTTTCTACGCAGCCAAAAACCATCGAACAAGGGGAATGGATCGCTCATCAAGGTACATTTTCATATCTCTGAATCATCACATAATCTAAATATGTTATTAGTCGTCGAACATTACAAGCTTTTGTGTGGGTTTGTCAAGGTTATTCTCGACAAAGACGAGAATGGGGAAACTGTTTGTAATGCAAAGACCTGCCCTCGTATGTCTGCTAGCGAGTAAGTGTAATGATGAACTTGACTACGTCATATCTAACCGACTCAATATAGTAAACATTGCTTTACATGGCTGAACTCAACACAAGAGCCAGTAGAAATTTCGGCCCATGATTACATCGCACTTGTACAGTGTTGGATTTCTGGCAAGATTGATGACACTACTATTTTTCCAACCGATCCTGCCAGTGTTTCAGCAGCCTACGCATTGGAAGGTCTTTCACCTGACCAGCAGCAGAATCCAATCCCAACCGATCCTACCCGTGCACAACTATATAGCTCCAACGACTGGGTTGGCAAGGGTAGCGGGTATCCTCCAGAGCTCGTTAATATTTGTTATATCATCTTCCGGCTGATGTTCCGAATTTACGGACATCTCTATTGGTCTCACTTCGTGGATCCAGTCTTCCATCTCGGACTCGAAAAGCATCTGAATAGTTCCTTTAGTCACTTCATTCTCACTGCTACCGAAATCGATATGCTAAAGACTGAAGAGCTCCAGCCAATGCAACCATTGATTGATCTTTGGGCTGCGAATGGAACTTTCCCTCCGGAGTCGAAAGTTTACAAGTATGCAGATTTACAAGCTGGACAGCGATTGTTAACTACTCAAGAGCTCTCATAGAGCCAGTCTAGAGGTATGCTAGAGCCAGGGAAACGAGGGTTCAGTATGACTAGATAGTTTTCCTTAGATAGAGGCCTCCTGCGGAATATATCTACCTCTTCTTCGGCGATATAGCCTTCATTCTTTCACCCAGACTGTTCGGAGACCTGTCGATTGAGATGACGAGAGAGGTCTGAGTGTGTGTATGGAGTATCTACCTTGTCCCACTTAGTACCCTTTCTGCTTGATATGATCCGCTATCCGCTTTAAAGCGCGATAGCCCATGTGCTTCAGCAACATCTGCTCTTGCTATGATAGCTTCATAGACACCAAAGTTCGAATTCGGAGTTTGCTTGACATCTTTCAAGATCCATTCATAATAGAAGACGGAGCATATATAATACTGAATTTCTGCCTCGCGCATGGCATCGTTAACGTACCGTGACATCTCGCAGTTTAATTGTCTTATGGTTTTGCAATCGGAAACAAGGAGTACAGCATCCGACAGTAACTTCCTCCAAACCACCAATTTTAACAAAGCTGAAAGAGCAGTCAGAACAAAGACAAAACGAGGATATAGATTTCTTACACAGTGAAGTCGTTTTTCACCTCCCTCCAAATGCTTCGTTCATTTCGGTAGCACGTAGTTGCCTTGATTACTAATACAATTATAATCATTATTGAAGACTACCATATTATCTAAATATATATTACATAATCCAACAGCTTGATAAGCTTAGCAAATTTTAGCTTAGCGAGCCCTTTCTAATCTTCTCTTCTTATTCCATCTTTCATCTTTCCTTCTCTCCAATTCTCCTATGATCAACCATTTCTTTTCATTCTCTCCTTCTTTCTGTGAATCATGCCCTTACAAGACCTTGATTATGAGGAACTTACCAATACCTTAATTAACAACTTTAATATACTAGCAGATGAAGTACAACTTCTGAGTGATAGAAAGACAATTCTGGAGCACAAACTGCGGTATTCACATTCTCAAGTAAGTTTGCCAAATTTCTTCTCAATCACGCACTCCTCATGTCCCTTAATGATGTACACAATAGCTCTAGAACAAAGTTACTTGTTGCAAAGTAGCAATGCCGATAAACTACTAAACTATCTGAATTTTTGACTCCTATCTTTATCACTCTCGAGACCGCTTGGCGCAACCAAGACTAACCAACATCTTCACAGTACCAATCTTTGGCAGATAAATATGCCCCCTCAGATCCTGAAATAGCTAGTACATTGGCAAAGCTTCAACTTCCTCCAGATTTACAAATAACCGTTTCTGATCGTGGTGGATTTGTTCCTTTGCCACTTCGTAAACAGCCAACTTCGAAGCAGCAGACTGCAGTTGCAATAAGGGACGGGAGAAGGGCAGCACAACATCTTGCGGCTATAGGTGGAAAGTCTGCCGGATCCACAACTAGTAAAAGTATATCCGGTGGAAGTAGTAATATGAGATTGTCCGCACACCGAACCTCCTTATCAACTGTTCTCGAACAAGATTTTACTGTGCCTGGAAAGAAGAGTTCATTGTTGTGTCCATTTGTAACTATGCCTGACGGAACGAAATCCATGAAGAATCCAAATGCTCAGGATACCAGCACTGGTGAATCCGATCAACCTTTGACTCCTATCGATACCCAAGACCCCACCCCCCACCACTCTTCAGATCCTATATGCGCGCAAATGTACGCCGAGACGATGTCATCTCCGCCCCCGTCAGCAACAGGCCCTGGAGCCCAGTGTCCAATACGCTATATTAATCAACATTCACCTGAAGAGATAGCACGATATTTTGAAACTCACAAACACGAAGTTCCCCGCAGTCATGAGATTTGCGTCAAGCGATATCAACGAAACGAAAATGATGTGAGGATGCTGGATGCGAAATATGGAAACCTTGTGAGCATGATTCAGGGATTGGGCCAAAAGCATCAGCCAATGTTACCTACAAAGGAAGACCAAGAAGCTTACGAGGTCGAACATGCGTCCCACGAGAGAGTTGAAAATTGGGCAAACAATGTTAGTGTTGATGGCAATGAATCATTACACGAAACTCAATCTGCACCCGCAGATGATAGAGAAAGTCGTTTCGACAGGCCAATGAAAGAGGTCAGGGTGGGCGAATCTCCAAGCAGACCATGGGGGATTTCTGTTCCAATCTATGATCAACCATCTGACCATAGGCCTGTGTCTCCACCTCCAGCGCCTGTATCTGTTCCCTTGGACAACTATTCAAAGCCTCCCGAGAAGTGTCCATTTGGACATACTGCGGCATCGAATGCGGGGCCAAATTCAACACAAGGATTGCCCACGACTCCAGTTGAAGCAGAGAGACCAGCAGGTTGCCCTTTTGGTCAAGGTCAGAAGGCTAAGGACAAAGCCCCCTCTACAAACTATGATGCACCGCCTGTGTTTCACGATCAGCCGGCCTTCATCCAACCCGAACAGCTCCAGATGCAGGGTAATGGACCGAAGATGATTTTTACAGGGCCCGTATTCATAGGATATCCGATTGAACAAGCTGTGGCTTTTATGAAGCAGTATCAGACACAGAATGAATGATTTAACGATTTGGTGATGAGGTTTTGATAGCGGATTTTGGGATTTGATTTTAGCGACGGAGTTCTAGCGGTGCATATGAAATGGAATGGATGCAAATGGCGTTCTTTTGCTTTACAGGAGTACTAATATATATTCTTATTACACAGAAATCCTGGTCAAGGGAGGCAAGCATTTTAGGCAGTCCAGGAACTCTTGAACAATGCGAATACCACGCATCAAGACGATCAAAAGAAATGACATAAGAATGCTGAGTTCGTAAAGAATCATTTGTCCCCTTTGGCCCTTCAACTCGACATCGTCCTCTCCCAATGCAAAATAGGTATGCATAAACCATCTGCCATTTAATCATTTCCTTTCCCGAACACCAGACTGTGGTGACACAATCAGACCCAGCAAGACCCAGCATGTATCCAGCTCATACATTTCATACAACATGCCCATCATGATTTCCCATACCCTAACCATAACTGAAATTCAAAATCCAAAACCGAATCTAAGTTCTAGCTGTATCTCCCCTCCCCCCGATGTCCGCCTCCTCATCTAAATCTCCACTCGCAAAAACATCTCCCTCGTCCTCATCTATAAAATCCGTGTATCCCGCTTGCTCCTCCTGATTGTCCCATAGGGATATATCGTCATCGTCCATCAGCGCCGCATCATCATTATTTGCATCTGTATAATCGGCCGCTAATCTTCTCCCAGCTGCCACATCACCATTTCCGGCTTCGAGCTCCTCTATCTCGAGTTCTTTGGCGCGCGCCATGGTGCGCTGATAGATTATATAGCCGACAGTTGCGCCGAGAGCACCGCCAATAATTATACTGGCATAGTTTATTATTCTGGTGGAGGTGTCCATTTCTTCGTCGCCGGCGAGGGAACCAAGGCGACTGCCGATGAAGACGTGGATCAGAAGTTTAGGACTTACCATGGCAGTAGCGAGAGCGTAATTGAGAGGATGCACGGTGGGAAAGGTGGCCATGGCGGCATTGGAAAGGGAGTATGGGAGGGGACAGAGACGAATCATACATAGGATTTTGATACCATCATGTTTGAGTGTGAGAGCGAGGGCTTCGAATCGCTTGTCTTTTCCTACGAGGCGATGTACGTAGCTTGAAAGGATGGTTCGAGAAGCTAGGAATGAACAGAGTGATCCTGCTACTGTTGCACTCGCTACTATCGCCCAGCCTTTAGGAACTCCATAGACGAAACCGGCGATGGTAATGGTGGATGAATAACCAATGAGAGGTGGAAATGCCGCGACGAATGTCATGGCCCATAGAATCATCCATCCTCCTCGCATATCCCGCCAGCGTTCAGCGAATGGAGCGAGACTGGCGAATATTTGATGCTGATATACTAGAAACAGGGCGAGGAGAACGATGTTGAGGATCACTGCTACTATGGCAAGACCTTTTTGTATGGGTGACAGCTTCTGCCAGGTTGAAACCACTTTTCTTTGTAGCTTGTCAGCTTTGCTGAGAATTTGATCTTTGAGGGAGGTAGTGGGACGAGTGGAGAATGGCGAGGCAGAATTGTTTGTTCGTCGCACACTGGAGGATATACGACTTGACCATGGCGGTCTCTCTGCGTGTTGATTTGGAGAAGAGGGAGACTCGAGAGGACTTATAGGTAACGCTAATGCTCTTGCGGTCGAGCTGTAATCGGCCGGCATTGTAGGAATTATTCGATTTATATCTGTAATATGCGAAGCGCAATTCTAGGTTGTTGATCAGGAATCGGGTTCCGATTTCGCACAATCGGAAGGTTAGATGATATGAGCTACAGCGTTTTTGTAAGATGCATTGGTGGTATCGTCAAAGTGATGAAGGTAATTTGAGGACTGGTTTCTAGGATGTAGTAAGAACCTCAGGGCTATGCTGATGCGCTCTTGAAACGGGAATAGTGCTCACTAATACCTACCTAGGTACTGTAGCTTAGTATTTCGAGAACGAAAATGATAAATTAACTAGTGATCTTCACGTTATAATAATAACATGAACATATTGAAAGAGAAAGATAACGAAAGATTTTGAAGGATTCTAAAGGATTAGGATCTACTGGTACATGTATCTGAGACGTGAAGTTATCTTGTAACTAATACGATGCTCCAACGCGACACCGCACTCACACTCTTGCTTGTACTGTACCTTTTACGTCACTTTTGTTTCTACTTCAGGGAGGGGAGGGGTCGTGGAGATCAATCACATGATGAATATCAATTTTATCATAATGAACTTGCCTATGAAGCCTGGTGAGTGAAGTGAAGTTGAGTTGAGTTAAGTTGAGTTGAGTTGAGTTGAGTTGAGTTGCAACACTACTCAGAGTTATTTATTATTAGTTAATTCATGATGAGGTCTACGGAGTACCGGTATAATCAAACTACAGTACAACAAACACCTGCAGTTTTATGTCTGCACTGCGGATAAATCACCAAAATAGAAATTCAACAACCGGTACTCGCATTATACACCCTAGTCCGATAATTACTGAGCACCACAGAACACACAGAACACACAGAACCCGTAGCAACAGTAGCAACAGCTTTTCAAGCATACAACCATAACTCTCAAATCCCTCGTAAACTCTAAATCCCCATTCCCTACTTTTGTTCCTTTCTCACCTCACCGCCGCATATGCTGAAAACTAGTTCAGCATACATTGTTGTACAAATTGGATGGACCCAATATATATACATATCTGGACCAATAATATTACTTTTCTTCTAAAAACTAAAAAAGAAATCCTGACCTTGATAGGCCAGCCTCATCCATCTCATGTTGAGCTAGAGTGCTGTCCGACATTCCAAACCCCACGAACCTCCCGGTACTCTACTCTACCCTACCTGTGGAATACAAACAATTTGGAAATAAATCCCCTTTCTTTTTTCTCTCTTCTGGCTTCTCAAATAAATTCGATGCTATGACTGAAAATATATTCTCACCGAAACATTAATCTGACAATGTAAGAGCCGGGTTGCCTTTGTTGTGTTGTGCCTTGCTACGGGATTATTACCCGTACATATTGCCTTGCTCTTATTACATCTTTCGAAGTGTCCTTCCTTGATCAATCGCGAACTCCGGTCTCACCTACCTTTACCTTTCCACTAACCCCAACAACTATCTATTTACTTTTTTACTTTCTACCCTTTCATTTTTACTTCCATTTCCTGCGAAACACATACAAGCTACGGTCAAACAATAATCTAATCTGATCGTTACTCAAGAGACCTTGGCGAAAATGGTGGCCGACGATGCCTACGAGATCTGCCTCCCCATCCTCGAAGATGCTACCCTCGAGGACGAGGACAAAACCGACAAGCTGGAGGATCTACTCAAGAATGAAACTACAATGACAGGAGCTGTGCTCGAGAATGCTGTATTGGATGTATTATGGCGATATCGCGAAAGCGCTGCGAACGCTAACTCACCACCGGCAATGCGACATACTGTCCTTCGTCGACCATCCCCTGCTCCATGGCAGATCCCACGTGTCGGAACACCAGTGACTTCATCCCCTCGTCTTGGAGTCAGTCCTCTCGCTCCCCATGGGTTTATGCCACAATCCTTCTCTCGCACCAGGTCTATACAAGGCTCCCCTTTCACCTCACCGCGACCCTCCCCGCGACTCGCGTTCTCCAGCCCTGCGATCCCTCATAGCCCAAACCTGAACGCATACGAGTTTCCGATTGATACTAGCCCTACACAAGACATATATGGAGACTATGGAAGTGAAAATGTAGATTGGCTTGTGAATGATGATGCTGTCAGTATTACATCATCGTCTGTCGGAGGAAGTGGCCTCAACGCTGCCGCTGCCGAATACATCTCTCCCCAGCAAAACGATATGAGCTCTCATGATATGTTACGGTCAATTTTTGGTCCTTCAAAAACGGTCGAGGAGATTGAAGCTGCCCTTGCTTTGCACGGATACGATTTGAGCGCTACCATTGCTGCTTTCATGGATAGTCAGTCGGGTGATGCTACGGTACAAGCAGAGGGAGAGGGCACCAAAGCTATCCTGATTGGTAAATCTATGGCAGCGGACGTGCCTCGCCCAAATACTCCGGCCGGCCAACAAAGAAGCGGTGTCGTATGTCGATTTTGGTTGTCTACTGGACAATGTCTACGTGCGGATTGCAGATTTAGTCACGATTTAAGTAACCATATTTGCAAGTAAGTTTCCTCCCATTCCCGTAAATTTACAGTCCCTCATCCTGTTGCAGGTATTGGGTCATGGGCAATTGTCTTGCGGGAGATACTTGTATCTTCAGTCACGATCCCTCATCATTTATGAGCCGACTCTCTCTCGAAGGGAGCAGCACACCCCCAGCTCAGAATGCTCAACCCAGTTTCCAATTCCAGGATTATAATGCTTTCCCATCTCTACAACCAATGCAAGAACAGTGGCCAACCTCTTATTCGTCTGCAAATGCTTTCAGCAACTACCAACAGGGTGGCTTTACCCCGCCACCTGGATTCAAAAGTCTACAAGGCTATAACAGTGATGGAAGTCAGCGATCTCGACCAAGTAGTCGAGCTAGAGATGTACCTGCAGCTCCAGCTCTCGATGACACGGAGGCATTTCCATCGTTGGGTGCTGTGAGTGCAAAGGGCAAAAAGCATCACGGGAAGCGAGGTGGTCATGGGCACAACCACAAAGAAAATAACAGCCCGAGCTCTCTCGCGGATGTGGTAAAGCTGTCGCCTTCACCAGGCCCTGGCATGATGCAAGATAAGAAAAAAATCAGCAGGATTGGTAGCTCCAATAATGTCCGCAATGGTGAGAATAGCGCTCTTGCCCAAGCTATTTCACCTCCCCAGCATATTCCATGGTTAGAAACTGGAGAAAGAGCCAATAAAGCATACCTCAAGGCCAGACAAGATGCAATCAAGCATGGTGGTCTGAGGAACAAATTTTTACAAAGGTTGGTCAATGTTATACGCCATACAGCATCTTTAAATTAACAACGTCTAGTGCCGCTCAAGCCTGGAACCGTAATGATGCCCGTGCTGCAAAAGCACTTAGTCTTCGTGGTCAAAGTGAGAATGATCTCATGAGGAAAGCACACCGGGAAGCAGCTCGTGAGCTTTACGAGGAACGCAATAAGAGTAACTCCCCAAACGCGGAGCTTTATGTTGATTTGCATGGTCTTCATCCTGAGGAAGCCGTTGAGTATCTTGAACGGGTCCTACTAGATAACAGCAGAGAACCAAAGCCCGTTTATGCCATCACAGGCACCGGTCATCACAGCAAGAACGGAAAAGATAAGGTTGGTAAAGCCATTCGTACATTCTTGAACGAATGGAGATACGCATACCGCGAGTTCTCGGTGCCTGGCGATAGAAACAACGTAGGTGGTATTCTGGGCGTTGATGCTAGGTCGTATGATAAAACACTATCTAGGGAAAGTAACGGGGTAGATGGAGCAAAGGAAGAGGTTGACATTTTGAGTCAAGGTCATGAGATCGGTGGCGGAAAAATCAAGCTTCTAGTGCGAAACCAAGATCGAAGTCAAGAGGTTCCCAAGGGACCTAGCGGTAAAGGCCGATGACCTAGAAAGAAAGAAACAATAAATCATTAAACAGTCTGAATTGTCTATTTGCCCTAAATCTTTGCCCCATATTTCTCTACTTTTATACTCTTCCAGGCATCGTTGAGCTCTGCATCTGTCACCTCCTTGTTGCTCGATATCCTCTCCTCAAGATGTCCAGTACTCTGTAGTTTCGTAATGAGATCTTCATCTCCCACGTGAGCATTGTGCTATATCATGGGTCAGTTCAAAGTGATAGCACGTATAATTCAAGACCTACCTCAAATTCTGGCTCTTCCCCGTACGCAATTCTAGCCGCATCTATATAATATTAGTCAGTGATGTAAATCTTACATTCAATCTCCCATCTATCCCTCTCAAAATTTGTAACTCACCAACCAAAATCCTCGCTGTCATCCCCCAAACTTTATATCTCGTCAATCCATGCTCCTCTCGCTTATCCAGCTCCTCTGCAATAGTCGCCTGCCCTCCTTCTCTAATCTTTGGCTTCGATACCTTCTGATTTGTAATCGGCACATAGAAATTATGCATCCGCCACTTCGTATCATGCCACTTGTGCCAAGCCCCATTATACCAGTCGCTTTTCTTTCCGGGTAATAGAGATTCGTCTTCTTTCCTTACTTCATCTTCTGTTCGCAAAAAATTATGGAAAGGGGCGGAAAATACGGCCGCTACTTCTCTTGCATCCGATCGAGGTACCAAATCCTCCGCATCTCTCCCACTCAGAAACGCAACACAAGGACGTACAGCCAACGCCGTTCTAGCCAGACTAAACGGTAGCTGACACAGATGTTCTATCTTGAACGGAGCGGGAATCTTCGAGTCATCGTTAGGAAGACCAATTTCCTCACTGGCTTCTCGGCGCGCAATTTCAAAAGGCGTCTCGTGTAGAGAATCAGCTTTGCCACCGGGAAACGCAGCGTGACCGGCAAAGTTTCGAAGCGTGTTCGAGCGCATGGTAAGCACAACTCGGAGGTCACCTCGTCGATCGGCAAAGAGGAGAATAAGGACGGCGGCTCGTCTGCTGAGGGGGAGGAGGTTCCATATTGAGTCGAAGGGGGGTGGTTTGTATGAGCGGAGTCGGGCGAGGGCGGCCTGTCTAGAGAATTAGATTTCGGTGTCACGCAGATAGAAATCTGTCATATGTATACGTTGAGTATCATATGGGATCACGTACTATGGAAGCTGCTGACAGCGGAGCCATACTACTTGCATCGAAGTATTGTGCTTCTAAAATGCTTTATTTGAGTTCTACTACCTCATTCTCATCTGTTTCGATTGGGGTGTCTAGAGCTGAATTCTAATCTTTCAATATCTCATTTATAGGTACTCGGATAAATATCTCTGTATGAAATGCGACAAGCCGAGGTCGAAATAATGAAGTCATTGAGATAATGTGGGGTAATGCATAGCCTTATTGTGAAGCACAAAAAAGCATACATAAATGTACTCGAGTAGCATAAATAATCCCAATCTACAAGGTTCCCCACAGCTATTGATGAAAGTTCATTTGCTTCTTCTTACGATAGATGAACATCCCTTTTGATCGACCACCTCAGTACAACAACATGTATGGTGTGATATACACGGAATGTGATGAAATGCCTTAGCTGAGAAGTCTCGATTAGTACTCTAAATTGCGCCATCGTCTCCCGGCCATTGAAGATGAGAATTGGTGTTTACTTGATCTGCCTTGATTATGCGATCTCCGATTATTCTTTCATCTGTTCAATTAATCATATATAAATGAGGTTCATTGAACCGTTTGCTATTCATAACTGATATTCATTGATTAACATAGAGCACACATCTCATCTCATCTCATCATCAAACTCGCAAACCAAACAAGAACACGCCGTTCAACATGCCAGCCGAGGTTCCATACGCAGTACTCGTAGAGCCTACGACATATATAAGTATTGTTCGACCCGAAACTCCCATTCAAAAGAATCTCATTGAGTTCAATAACATCTACGCTGCAAGTTTCGAACAAGGTGATCTTGCACTTCCACCCGCCAAGAAATATGCCGTTGGTACGTTCCCTTCCATCAACCTTTCCCAAATTCCTTAACCTACTCTAACGTATCTCAGTAACCTGCATGGACGCCCGCATCGATCCCTCCGCGGCTTTTGGTATCGCTCTCGGCGACGCCCATATAATCCGCAATGCAGGAGGCTCTGCACGCGATGCATTACGTTCGCTCATCATTTCTCAGCAATTGCTGGGTACGAATGAGATTTTACTGATCAAACATACGGGATGTGGGATGCTCACCTTTAAAAATGAAGATGCGGTCAAGATTGTAGAGGAAAAGTTGGGGGAAGGAGCAAGAAAGGAATTGGAAACATTTGGGGGTGATTTTCAACCGTTTGAAAATTTGGAAAAGGAGGTCACGAGGGATGTGGAATGGCTGAGGGGGGTGGAAGCTATACCTGGGGAGGTTGGAATTAGTGGATGGGTTTATGAGGTGGAGAGTGGGAGGGTGAGAAAGGTCATTTGAGGATCGAGTATAAATGGTTAAAATGGCAGGAGGTGGGTGTTGAGTGTGCGGGCCCTGCTTCGTTTTCTTATATAAAGTACTTTCGAAACCCTGAGGCGTCCTGAAGTGTTTAGAAGCCCTGGTGTTGCGATGCTACTAGTGTTCAACATCATGCAAATCTCGTTTCTCTGCCGCATTATGAAAATGATGGCTATATTCCCAACCCCTTCACTTCTCGCTTAGATAACTTTCATTGTATATGTGTAATATTCTTAGCGTTTGGGACGAACACTTTTGAATCCTCAATTCCATTATGATATTTTGATCTATATCATCCCATCCCATCCGGTCAGTCACCTGCCATCACTTGTATGCACATACTACAAGTTCATCGCCCTCTTGATTCGTTCTCACACACACTCTCAGCCAATATATTATATAGTCCCTGAAACCTCCAAAACTTCCACATACGGCCATAGACTGAAGAGAATTGGGCATCCCGTCCGCTCTGCCATACACAAGCTTCAGATCGGTGGATTAGTAGTTGGGTGGGTGACCACCAGCGAATCCCCACTGTTGTATGTTTTTGAGGAATTTATATTTTTTGCTTTTTTGCTTGAACGAACGAACGAATCAGTTTTGTGTTGGGATGGACAATTTTACTCGAGGAGTTTCTTTTGACTGGAAGGCAGAAAGGCGGAAAGGGAAAGAGAGATGGGATTTTTGTCGATAGATAATGGCTATGGAGTGCGCTATGAGAGGAGAGATGAGAGGAGACGAGGAGG